AATTGGAAGGCACCCCGATTATGGAGACGTCTTCCTACGTGTATCTCGGACGTTCGACGAACATGGAGAACGACTTGAGGGAAGAACTTAACAGGAGAAGAAGAGCAGCCTGGGCCGCCTTCGGGCCTCTGAAGGAAGCCACCGACCAACTGACGGACCCGAAGCTTCGTGCCCACCTGTTCGATTCAACCGTTCTCCCGGCGCTCTGTTACGCAGCTGAGACTTGGGCCGACACTGTAGCCACGTCGAAAGCTTTACGGACCATCCACAGAGCGCTCGAGCGCAGTCTTCTGAAGATGACCCGACGCAAGCAACATCTAGTCGGACTTCGCAGCACGGATATGAGAAAAATGTCCCGTCTTCGTGACCCAGCGGAATACGTCGCGAAAGCCAAACACCGATGGGCCGGTCACATAATGAGAAGAACAGACGACAGATGGACACTAAGAACATCGGAGTGGATTCCTCGCGAAGTTAAACGTCCTCGAGGAAGACCACCGACGAGATGGGCAGACGTGTTCGTGGAACGGATGGACCAGCTGAGAAATCAGCTGGATGCGACTTTCGCCCCTGGAACTCGTGGACGCAGCCACCGACGACGGCCAAGAAGATCGTGGATGTCTGAAGCGAGGGACAGGGAAAACTGGCGACTTCTGTACTGAGGCCCGCACGTCACGTGAGGACGGGCCATCTAAGTATCTGAGTATCTAAGTAAGTAAGTTTACTGAACACACGCAAACGTACAGTACCGTCGGCGCTACCGCTGAAAACAGCGGACTAAGCAAGATATCGCGCCGGAAACGCCGCAGCAGCATAACTCTCTTGAAAGTCACTTTCAAGCAAAGGGAGACATATAATCGGAATTAGCGTCCTTTACACTATTTATACCATAATTTAACTTTCGAAACACGAATTTTTCATTTTTCCGATAAAGTCATGGCAAACTTTCACGCTCTTGGGGCTTTGGCTTATAAATCGCTGCGTAGCTCGCCGTTGATTAGATTTGTTGGTGTAAGCCATTGCTTACTATGGAGGGACCTTGCTCCTTATTTCTCATGAAGTTCTGGAAGTCTAGAAGTTTTTCATTCTTAATAGAAAACAAATTTTAACACATTGACGACCATGCAGATTTTTAGTTGTTTGCCTTCAGGGACCAAGGCCTGTTGCGGAAAAACCCACATTTTTCGGCTATAATTACGCATCCTGCCATCTACAGTAAAACCTACAGTAAATCCGAAAGGCTAACAAAAAAGATAGAGGTCATCCCCAGATTAGTGTAAAAGAAAGCTCATGGAGTGAGTTTATTCTAGGATAGTAGCCATTTGAAGTAATTTCAAGCCTTGACACACATGGTGTGTCAAGCGGTCCCACACGGTAGTCATTGCTTGACACACCATGTGTGTCAAGCGGTCGTCAATGTGTTAATGAGCGAAAAGTTCAGTCTTTGGAAATACGTAGCTCTAAAAATCTGCATTTATGGGCAAATCATTCAACACCGGTAGATAAAGCAACAAGTTTCCTAGAAGGCTTGTTTTAAATTACCCACTTGTGCGGCTTTTCTTGCAAGATGTATGAGCTCAGATCGGGTTCTCATGCTTTGAACTAAATTTCAAGACTACTTTCGAAAGACCATATCTCAAGAATGGGCATAGTAACGTGCCGCATTTTTTGTACAGTGGCAAAGATGCTTTGTTAATTGAGAATTGCATGCCTGTGTGTGCTTTCTGGGAGATCCAATGCACTGAGATAAACTGAAAAGTGCAGAATCACAAGAGATTTTTAATCGTTTCCTGAACCTCACCAAACACTACAATTTTTATACATTCGAAATCTACACGCTATAAGCTCTTCAGAAACATATATATTGGTTCCCATATCATCACATAAAAATGAGCTGATCTATTCTTTGCGCCTATTTGGTCCTCTAAGTCAGATTGGGCGCATGCACCCAGCAAAAACGTGCCGGAACCGCTTCGCCATAGTTCGCTTCGGAGCTTTTCTTACCGTTAGTTCACGAACTAAGGGAAGCCTTCAGTTCTTTTGTAATATAGACAGCTAGATTTACACACCGAATGCAATACCAGTCGGACTTCTATCCATCTGTTCGCTTTAATCCCATAAAATAGGCGAGTTAGTTTGGTATTAGTTAGTATGCTCTACAAACCAGTGATCTTTTGAGCGGGAAAATTTTAAATTCAAAATGTACTAGTGGATACTTTCTTGACTGATTATTGTTACTTGATTGGACTTGCTGTGTGGCTGTTACCTTATTCTCTCTAATACTCATCCATCCTACATTCTTTTGCACTTCCTTGGGAACTACTGATGAAGGGGCACCAAGGAAGTCACATATCCGGTCTAGTTCTTAGCCCCGAAACCGGTTATGTGTGGAAAATAATTGATCTCTCTTCTTTATCATGAAGGTTAATGTACTGATAATAATTTGTTATTACTAGTCTTTCTATGTGTAGACTGGGTAAGTGCGGTGATGTGAGGCTATGCCCACTCCCGACACTGGACCAGAATCTACGTGCCAATTTGCATGTAGGGTAGAACTCTTTTGAAAGTATTTGACACATAAACCATGATCAAACTTTTATTCCAACTCATAACTTTCTGATTTTTACATAAAATGAATGAGTTGTTGTCAGATGTAAATTAGTGCTTGGCGGTTTTTGCTGAGGGCCCCTCAGCGGAATTGTCAGTAGAAGCAGGACGTTTTCCGGTACTACGCACTTCGGAAGAATGAGCATTTCCATTACGATTCCTTTCCTCCACTATTGCTTCCACTGGTATGGAGTAACGTGCAGCAGCCTCCTCCAAGGTGAAATACTGGAACAGTAAAACATAAGTGATATTACCCTAGCTAATTGACTATAACCTACCTGTTTTTCAATCCTTAGTCTCAATGTCCGTTTACAAACTAAAACGAACATGACGGGATATTTAGGATCCGCCTTTCTGCGTTGATTCATTTCAGCAATTATGAGCCTTTTCAAGGCACACGCCATGTCGTAATCATTTCTTTCGTTAGGTGTGAGAACGCGGCCAATGGAAATCCACCTTTCTAGAAAAACCAAGTTCGAGTAAGATGGTATGATATTGATTCTACCTCAACTGAATACTGTTCAGTTAGTCCACTATTCAATAGCAACTTTTGCGTATGGAATGGGGTTGGAGAATACGTATTCTAGCGCAATAGTTATTGCAATCTTTCATTAGAGTGAACACCAGTTAATAACGACCTGTAGAGTTTCGTTTGGTTTTGCGAAGTTGCGGCGGTCAACTCAGTAGTTTTGATGGGATACACCTCTACTGATGTTTAGTCTACTTGACTGGTGACATTGTCTGTTTAGTAATAGTCTCAACGGATACAGAGTCCCTTTAGAACGATTTACATTCGCTGAACTCTCAGATTACGGTGGGAATTACGCTACGCCAAAACTCGATATTGTGTGAGATTGCGAAATGAATACACACTATGATTTACGGCATCTCTAATAATAGGATTTTGGGACTATGCGCTGTTTTCTTTTTGTTTCTGATCTTTTTCTCCTTGTTCTTGGACTTTTCCCGTCCTTACATCAAACTTATTTCTTTTTGGTAACAAAAGTGTAGTTCGTTCTAACCTAGCAAATGCCTGAAAGTAGACTAGTCCTAATGTTGCCTGATGTCAAAGTTGCGGCATTTGCGTCATTGTTTCAACTAGTCATAGTCTTGGGTAGTAGTATCATCTAAAAACAATTTACAGTTGTTCTTTTGTTCAAGCTACCTACTCCCTTTGACTAAAGCATTCCCTTTCCAATATTAGTTTACAACGCACTATTTTCCTTTTGCAAAGAGTATAGCATACACTAGCCGTGTAATTTTGTGCAATTGCGTAATATAGACACACCAGATTTCACGGAGTGTATGTGATACATCGTTTTCTTCAAAATTCTCGTATGTAGTCAGTTCCAAACTCTAAGCTAACTTATCAGTTAATAGTATACACATCAGGCATTATATTTAACCTTTTCACTATGATATATTTTAGATTGCTGCTTGCTTACAAAAGTTCATCATAGTAGCTCATAATCAAAACAGATTTGATGCATAGCAGTTTGTTCAATCTAACTTAATGTATGTGATCTCTTTAGCTTTGGCGTCACGGCTAGTGTATGCTATACTCTTTGCAAAAGGAAAATAGTGCGTTGTAAACTAATATTGGAAAGGGAATGCTTTAGTCAAAGGGAGTAGGTAGCTTGAACAAAAGAACAACTGTAAATTGTTTTTAGATGATACTACTACCCAAGACTATGACTAGTTGAAACAATGACGCAAATGCCGCAACTTTGACATCAGGCAACATTAGGACTAGTCTACTTTCAGGCATTTGCTAGGTTAGAACGAACTACACTTTTGTTACCAAAAAGAAATAAGTTTGATGTAAGGACGGGAAAAGTCCAAGAACAAGGAGAAAAAGATCAGAAACAAAAAGAAAACAGCGCATAGTCCCAAAATCCTATTATTAGAGATGCCGTAAATCATAGTGTGTATTCATTTCGCAATCTCACACAATATCGAGTTTTGGCGTAGCGTAATTCCCACCGTAATCTGAGAGTTCAGCGAATGTAAATCGTTCTAAAGGGACTCTGTATCCGTTGAGACTATTACTAAACAGACAATGTCACCAGTCAAGTAGACTAAACATCAGTAGAGGTGTATCCCATCAAAACTACTGAGTTGACCGCCGCAACTTCGCAAAACCAAACGAAACTCTACAGGTCGTTATTAACTGGTGTTCACTCTAATGAAAGATTGCAATAACTATTGCGCTAGAATACGTATTCTCCAACCCCATTCCATACGCAAAAGTTGCTATTGAATAGTGGACTAACTGAACAGTATTCAGTTGAGGTAGAATCAATATCATACCATCTTACTCGAACTTGGTTTTTCTAGAAAGGTGGATTTCCATTGGCCGCGTTCTCACACCTAACGAAAGAAATGATTACGACATGGCGTGTGCCTTGAAAAGGCTCATAATTGCTGAAATGAATCAACGCAGAAAGGCGGATCCTAAATATCCCGTCATGTTCGTTTTAGTTTGTAAACGGACATTGAGACTAAGGATTGAAAAACAGGTAGGTTATAGTCAATTAGCTAGGGTAATATCACTTATGTTTTACTGTTCCAGTATTTCACCTTGGAGGAGGCTGCTGCACGTTACTCCATACCAGTGGAAGCAATAGTGGAGGAAAGGAATCGTAATGGAAATGCTCATTCTTCCGAAGTGCGTAGTACCGGAAAACGTCCTGCTTCTACTGACAATTCCGCTGAGGGGCCCTCAGCAAAAACCGCCAAGCACTAATTTACATCTGACAACAACTCATTCATTTTATGTAAAAATCAGAAGTTATGAGTTGGAATAAAAGTTTGATCATGGTTTATGTGTCAAATACTTTCAAAAGAGTTCTACCCTACATGCAAATTGGCACGTAGATTCTGGTCCAGTGTCGGGAGTGGGCATAGCCCTCACATCACCGCACTTACCCAGTCTACACATAGAAAGACTAGTAATAACAAATTATTATCAGTACATTAACCTTCATGATAAAGAAGAGAGATCAATTATTTTCCACACATAACCGGTTTCGGGGCTAAGAACTAGACCGGATATGTGACTTCCTTGGTGCCCCTTCATCAGTAGTTCCCAAGGAAGTGCAAAAGAATGTAGGATGGATGAGTATTAGAGAGAATAAGGTAACAGCCACACAGCAAGTCCAATCAAGTAACAATAATCAGTCAAGAAAGTATCCACTAGTACATTTTGAATTTAAAATTTTCCCGCTCAAAAGATCACTGGTTTGTAGAGCATACTAACTAATACCAAACTAACTCGCCTATTTTATGGGATTAAAGCGAACAGATGGATAGAAGTCCGACTGGTATTGCATTCGGTGTGTAAATCTAGCTGTCTATATTACAAAAGAACTGAAGGCTTCCCTTAGTTCGTGAACTAACGGTAAGAAAAGCTCCGAAGCGAACTATGGCGAAGCGGTTCCGGCACGTTTTTGCTGGGTGCATGCGCCCAATCTGACTTAGAGGACCAAATAGGCGCAAAGAATAGATCAGCTCATTTTTATGTGATGATATGGGAACCAATATATATGTTTCTGAAGAGCTTATAGCGTGTAGATTTCGAATGTATAAAAAATTGTAGTGTTTGGTGAGGTTCAGGAAACGATTAAAAATCTCTTGTGATTCTGCACTTTTCAGTTTATCTCAGTGCATTGGATCTCCCAGAAAGCACACACAGGCATGCAATTCTCAATTAACAAAGCATCTTTGCCACTGTACAAAAAATGCGGCACGTTACTATGCCCATTCTTGAGATATGGTCTTTCGAAAGTAGTCTTGAAATTTAGTTCAAAGCATGAGAACCCGATCTGAGCTCATACATCTTGCAAGAAAAGCCGCACAAGTGGGTAATTTAAAACAAGCCTTCTAGGAAACTTGTTGCTTTATCTACCGGTGTTGAATGATTTGCCCATAAATGCAGATTTTTAGAGCTACGTATTTCCAAAGACTGAACTTTTCGCTCATTAACACATTGACGACCGCTTGACACACATGGTGTGTCAAGCAATGACTACCGTGTGGGACCGCTTGACACACCATGTGTGTCAAGGCTTGAAATTACTTCAAATGGCTACTATCCTAGAATAAACTCACTCCATGAGCTTTCTTTTACACTAATCTGGGGATGACCTCTATCTTTTTTGTTAGCCTTTCGGATTTACTGTAGGTTTTACTGTAGATGGCAGGATGCGTAATTATAGCCGAAAAATGTGGGTTTTTCCGCAACAGGCCTTGGTCCCTGAAGGCAAACAACTAAAAATCTGCATGGTCGTCAATGTGTTAAAATTGTTTTCTATTAAGAATGAAAAACTTCTAGACTTCCAGAACTTCATGAGAAATAAGGAGCAAGGTCCCTCCATAGTAAGCAATGGCTTACACCAACAAATCTAATCAACGGCGAGCTACGCAGCGATTTATAAGCCAAAGCCCCAAGAGCGTGAAAGTTTGCCATGACTTTATCGGAAAAATGAAAAATTCGTGTTTCGAAAGTTAAATTATGGTATAAATAGTGTAAAGGACGCTAATTCCGATTATATGTCTCCCTTTGCTTGAAAGTGACTTTCAAGAGAGTTATGCTGCTGCGGCGTTTCCGGCGCGATATCTTGCTTAGTCCGCTGTTTTCAGCGGTAGCGCCGACGGTACTGTACGTTTGCGTGTGTTCAGTAAACTTACTTACTTAGATACTCAGATACTTAGATGGCCCGTCCTCACGTGACGTGCGGGCCTCAGTACAGAAGTCGCCAGTTTTCCCTGTCCCTCGCTTCAGACATCCACGATCTTCTTGGCCGTCGTCGGTGGCTGCGTCCACGAGTTCCAGGGGCGAAAGTCGCATCCAGCTGATTTCTCAGCTGGTCCATCCGTTCCACGAACACGTCTGCCCATCTCGTCGGTGGTCTTCCTCGAGGACGTTTAACTTCGCGAGGAATCCACTCCGATGTTCTTAGTGTCCATCTGTCGTCTGTTCTTCTCATTATGTGACCGGCCCATCGGTGTTTGGCTTTCGCGACGTATTCCGCTGGGTCACGAAGACGGGACATTTTTCTCATATCCGTGCTGCGAAGTCGACTAGATGTTGCTTGCGTCGGGTTCATCTTCAGAAGACTGCGCTCGAGCGCTCTGTGGATGGTCCGTAAAGCTTTCGACGTGGCTACAGTGTCGGCCCAAGTCTCAGCTGCGTAACAGAGCGCCGGGAGAACGGTTGAATCGAACAGGTGGGCACGAAGCTTCGGGTCCGTCAGTTGGTCGGTGGCTTCCTTCAGAGGCCCGAAGGCGGCCCAGGCTGCTCTTCTTCTCCTGTTAAGTTCTTCCCTCAAGTCGTTCTCCATGTTCGTCGAACGTCCGAGATACACGTAGGAAGACGTCTCCATAATCG